TTTTTAAGCGTAATGAATATATCTCATGGCATGTTGATATGCTTTCTTCATAATAAATTGCACAAATCATTAGCAGTAACAAAGGCCAACATATTGATGATGAATATTATTTTCAAAACCCCTTCGTAGCGAGACCGGGCCGGCTGTAAGAAAGTAGCTCCACTAAATCAAGTGAATCAAAAATCGCGATAACATCAAATTGAATTAATGGCACTGCATTGTACATGGGATAACCAAGTGATTACAACAATAACAGGGGAAAACTCCAAGAGAGCTTCCCCAAAGGACCAATCATGGCCACCCAAAACAAACCAAAAGCAAAACTAAGAAAAAGGAATAAAAACCACAGTCTCAAATGAAGAAAGAAGCGAGAAGATATCAGTTGCAATAACATCAACAATACAGTCAAAGACTAATCTATTGAGCAAGTGCTCTCTACGCTTCTCGCACCCCACTGAAACTTCAACTTGTTGCCAACCTGTCTGGCCTCCCAGCTGCAGCCATTCTCTAATCTTGAGTAGGGAAGCCTCCCAGGGATGAAGCTCTGTGGGTTGAGGGCTCTCATTGAAATTTGCCACTTCCCTTCCTTGGGAGAATGTTGTACAACCGAGGTTCCACCTTTGTGGCTTCAAGACACTAGCACTGGTTGCTGTAGCTAGCCCCCTACACCCTGTCTTGAGGTCAGGCTTTTTCCATGTGATTTGATTTGGTCATTCTCTTTGCCCCTTCAACAAGTTGAATTTCAGTAATTGTCTCTTTGTTAAAGATCCAGCTATTGCGGGTTTTCCACATCCACCACAAAAAAGTAGGTGGATAGAGTAATTCTGTTAGTGTTAGCCACATTGTTTTGCATGTTGCCTAAATCACTCCACCAATCTTTGTAGTCAATGTGATCCTGCCTCAGTTTGTTCCATTCCAGACTTGCAATGTGCCACACTTTTTTTTCTCTATCACATGTGAAGAATAGGTGTATCATGTCTTCATTTTCCTCCCCACACCGGTTGTGTCATCAACAATGCCCTTCTGTCTCAATTTGACTCTTGTTCCCAGCCAGTTATGCCAGCACCTCCAAAGGAAGTTCCTTAGTTTAGGTTTAACAGGTAGATGCCAGGTTTTCTTCCAAATTTTGGTATTCTGCTTGGACATGTCTCTGCTAGGCCCCACTGTTCCTTGTTGTATCTTGTGGTTCTATTGGATAAGCTTGTAGGCTTCTTTGACAGAGAACAAGCCTTTCTTGTCAGAGTGCCACACTAGCTTGTCCTTAGAACCTGTTTGGCTGATGTGGATCTTCAGTATATTGGCTGCATCAACGGGATTGAAGGACTGTAAAATAAGCTCAATGTCCCATTTCTTGACACACTCAAGGATTAAGTCCGAAACTTTGCTCAGGTGCATTCTGTCATCTGCAAATTGACAAACAGGTTTGAAATTTGTGTTGGTTGGGATCCAAGGATAATCCCAAAGGTCTATAGCACACCCATTACCCACCCGGTACCTCATTCCTAACCTAAGGGATTTTCTAGCATCTAGCCACCCTTTCCACATCCAGGAATCACTAGGCTTTTTACTGATATTCATGAGATTTTGCTTAAAAAATTATTTGCCTCTCAAAACCCTACTCATAAGACAATTGGGCTTGGTTAACAATCTCCAAAGCTGTTTGAGAATAAGGGCCTCATTAAAATCACACAGCTCCCTAAAACCTAGACCACCCTCCCATTTTTGCTTAGTTAAATTACCCCAAGTGGTCCAATGAATTTTACCTTTGTCATCCTCAGCCTTACCTCACCAAAAAGAAGTCAATTCCCTGCAAATATTTTGACAAACCCCCACTGGCAACCTAAAGACTGACATCACATAACCAGGCAGGGAACTTAAGACAGTTTTGATAAGGATTTCCTTACCAGCCTCACTAAGGTACTTATTCTTCCAGCTATGAATTCTAGAACTCACACACTCCATAACAAAGGCAAAAGTGTCCTTTTTGTTCCTACCTATTCCCAGAGGAAGTCCTAGATATTTAGAGCATTTAGCAGGAACAATACCATGGAGAGTTTGGCAAACAACAGCTCTGATATCATCAGGGGTGTTAGCGGAAAAGAAGACATTAGATTTATGCATGTTCACTGCTTGGCTAGAGACAGAACAATAGAGGTGCAATATATTGAGCAACGTAAGAGTATGGGAGTGATCAGCTTGACAGAAAATCAAGGCATCATCTGCAAAAAATAGATGTGACATGCTAGAAGAATGTTTGCTTATCTGAATGCCTTTAAAAGTTGAGGAAAGGCAGGCATTATGAATGAGGTTTGAAAGAGCTTCTGTGACAATAATGAACAAATAGGGGGACAGAGGGTCCCCCTATCTCAAACCTCTAGAAGGAATGAGATGTCCTAAAGCCTGGCCCCCAATGTTAAAAGAGAAAGAGGTTGTATGCAAGCCCAAATCCAGAAGAGAAAAGTTTCACAAAAACCCATGTTTTTGCAGATTCTAATCAGGAAGGACCGCTCTATTCTGTCAAAGGCTTTGGCCATATCAATTTTGAGGGCCATAAAGCATTTTTTGCCTCTCTTCTTGCTATTGATGAAATGGATACACTCCTGGGCTATAACAACATTGTCTAGGATTAACCTATCAGGGACAAATGCAGCTTGTGACTGGGATATGCAGTGATTATGAGTGTGCTTGAGTCTGTTGGCTAGGATTTTGGACAGCAGCCTATAAGTGACTGTACATAGGCTTTGCTTCTCGGGTGGTGGCGAACAATGGTGCTTTACTAAAATCAGAGACTTTGTGAGGGATTTTGGTTTTTGGGATGAAGGTTATGAGAGTGTGATTGGTAAAATGAGGGATGCAGCCAGTTTGAAAAAAATTTGCAATAGCAGAACATATATCAGATTTAATAAGATGCCAGTAAGATTGGAAAAAGCAAGGGGAGAAACCATCAATACCTGGTGATTTGCTTGGAACCATATCGCACAAGGCTGTTTTGATTTCATGTTCATCCACTGGTCTAGTGAGTTTCAAATTCATCTCTTGTGTGATTGAAGTTTTGATGCCAGCTAGGGCTTCTTCTATAAAAACTGGAGCATCAGATTGGAAAATGCTTATGAAGAAATCCATTATCATTTCCAGTTGTTCTGATTTGTCACTGCATCTCCTGCCAGTTCTGTGCACTAGCTTGTTAAGAGAGTTTCCCCATCTTCTTTGTCTTACACAGGCCTGGAAGAATTTAGTATTACTATCACCTTCCTTGAGCCATCTGAGCCTGGACTTTTGTTTCCAGTAGCTTTCCTCCTCTGTATAGGCCTTGTGCAATATATTTTTACACTTAACCCATTCTGACCAGTTTCTACTGCCTCCTTTCAGCCCCATTTGCTCCAGTTTTTTGTTACAAGCTTGGATAGTTTTTGCAGAGTTTGTGTGATTTTGCACTAACCATCCCAACAGGCCCATTTTTGCGTTTCTGGGCTTTTTCTGGAATTTGTAAAGACCTTTACCCCTGTTCTCAGAATTCCAAGCTTTCAGAATAAATCTTCAACCCCTTCTTACCCCACCCATCTATGGTTAAAGCAAAATCTCTTTCTGCCTTTCTCTTCAAGAACATCAGTTTGTAGAATCAAGAGGCTGTGGTCTGAGGAAACAACCTAAATATGCTTAACCATTGATTTGGGGTATTTAAAAGACCAATTTGGAGACAAAATAAACCTGTCCAATTTTTCCTCAACAAAATCTGAACCCTTTCTACCATTTGACCAAGTGTAAGGGTGACTAATACGCCACCCGCAGGTTGCGCAGTTTGCTGTTAAAAATGAATAGTAATATACATATTTATATATTTATTGAGGCATTCAAACCAACCCAAAATCTGAATGAAGTTTTTAAAATCATGGAAGCTGGAATCAGCCCTAAGCAAACCACCCCTTTTCTCCTCATTGTTGAGGATGTCATTGAAGTCACCTCCAATGAACCAAAGGTCCCCCCATTTGAGGTGGTGTCTTATCAGTATTTCCCATTGGGATTTTCTCTCCCCTTGGTCAACACTGGCATAAATAAAGACAACCCAAATCCTAGCACCAACCCCTTCCCACATGAAACAGACTTCCAGACAAAAAGAGCTACTAACTATTTCCAGGATTTTGATATTATGGGAGCTACCTAACAAAAGGCCCCCTTTTTTACCTATGGGATCAACAAACTCCCAATTACTAACGAAAGGAATTTGCTTACAAACAGAATTAACAAAAGCCTTTTTCTTTTTAACTTCAGAGATGAAGACAAAATCTGGGAGATAGGATATAATATTATCCTTCAACTGGGGAATTGTAGAGGGTCCTCCCAAACCTCTACAATTCCACACCAGAGCTCTCATTGATCACTCTGGGACCAGTTATGGCTGGTTTCCTCCACCACATTTTCAGTTAGGATCTTAGACAACTTTGGCTTTTTGGTTTCAACTATTGGGTTTGATGTGTCAAGGTTTTCCGTGTTTTCTGGTTTTCTTTTAAGAATGGGAGTTTGGATGACAGGTGATTTAATGGAGTTAGCTTGGTTAGCAGATTTGTCATGGATAATAATTCCTCTATTTCTGGTGATTCTGTGAAAGGTTTTTGGTTTTGACACCCCTGGATGAGGGGATTGAGCTTGGCTAATGGGCACATTAACAAGGTTACTTAATGTAGGATCAAGAATCCCACTTAAGTCAAGTTCCATGGGCTCAACTGCTATGGACTTGCCTTTACTGCTCTCTGGAGGTGTGTTTCCAGAGATAACACGGGCATTGGAGAGATCATCAACATCATCACACACATTGATCTTGTCTACAGGGATTGCGGGAATAAGCTCTGCATTTGGTTTTAGAGATGTGACTTTATCACTCTCACTAATAGACTCTTCCCCTGCCCCCTTATCTTTGGCTTTGCTAGATTCAGATTTATGCTGAGGACTAATTGGAATTGAAGATCGTTTTTCTTTGAAATCAGAAATATCCCCAAATGATCCTCGAAGTCATTCCCCAAACTGACCTGGTCTAAGCGAGCTATTCCGGATGTCAGATTTTTTAGATTCACAGCCCCTGTCATTATGTCCAATCCACCCGCAGTAAAAACAGAAAGTAATCAAATTTTCATACCGAAAATCTATCCAGTGGTCTTCAGCTCCCAGTTTGATGAATGTGCCTCTTGGTATTGGCTCGAGAACCAGTATATCTGCTTGGAGTCGGATAATTTTTCCATTAACACTGTCGGGTCCTGGGACAACAACATCGTGTATTCTGTCAAATACCTTGCCTATTTTCATCCTTGTTTCCTCTGAAATCTAATGCAATGGGAGATTGTGGATTCGAACCCAGAGTGCGACTTTTAGATCCTCATTTTTGAAATCAGTTTCACCTTTTTTCCACTCCTTTAGCAGCAGGTACTGGTTGTCGAACGACCAGTTTTTGCCTTTTAAGACTTTTATCTTGTCCTCTTCAGCTTGAAAAAGAAATTGGAAAAGGTTGTGCCCAAGGATTCTAATCGAGAATGGTCTGATTGTCCTCTAGATGACACCCATTGTTGTTTTAAGATCGCCCAAATTAGCTTTTTTATCTCCGATGATTTTCCCGATGAGACTGAGAGTACAATCCTGCAGGCCTGGCTCTATATCGTTATCCGATAGCCGAATTCCCAATTTTCCCTGCCCGATAGTTTAAATTTCCGAAATTTGTCAACAATGTCCTGCTCCATATCACTGAGACTAGCTTGAAACTCACTATAACCTTGATGATGGAAAGAGAACAACCCTGCAAGATACGATCGACACAAATAAAGAGGTAAAGATTAGATTAGGGAAGCTTAATAAACCCTATTTGAATGAAATAACAGAGCGAGAAAAAGGAAAAAAAGGGAATAATGAAATAATGGAGAAGGAAAAGAAAAAGAGAAGGGGATCATGGACGAAGGATTAGGATGAGATCTGATAATAGGAGAGAATTGATCCAAAATATTGGAACTGCTAAACCTTAATTAGGGAGGGATTACTTTTTATGATAAAACAATCACTACTAAGAAATGTCTTTGAATCAAAAGGCGATGACTGCTCTAATACACGCCAAGTAAAAAAAATTGGACCCGAATTTGAAGGCGTGAATCAAAAGGCAACACGACTTTGATTCTACTGTGTTCAATAACTCTAAGCAGCAACGTATAAACACAGATATATATATATATAATCTATAATTAGCAGCCGATGACTGCTCTAATACCACTTGTAGGAATTTATAATCACATAATATATATTCAATAACAATTATCCTATAACATACTTTAATTCTAGAAAAATCAACATTTCTCTAGATCTAAAAGATGATTAGAAATACCTGTATCCATTGAGTCTCTTTTGTGGAGTACAAACTCGATCGATTAATTGGATCAATTGGTATTATGGCATTCCTCAACTAAATCGCCTTATTCTTCATATGGGACCAGCGTGTCTTTCAAATGGAGAAAAGAGAACTGTTTGATTTAGTGGGTTGGGGACTATAACCAATAGGGTCTTTATATACTACTAAGGTACGTCACCCATTATCACCTAACCCTAGTAATATTAGGTATTCATCCAATCAGCCCATATCAATTTACGTAGTCCATGGACTCTACTTTATTTGGATCACTTAATTGAGTTCATTAATTAAATTGAATAACTAATATAATTGTATATAATATGTTTCCCATAATTAGATTATATATAGAAAAATAAATATTTCCTAACAAATATAACACATTTAATGTAATTTTCATTTAATTTATGATAATCAGTATTTTTTTTCAAAACAAACAAGATACATCTAGGTTGAAAAGTCTTTAATTATTTTATTAGTATTATAATAACTAAACATGGGGTGAGAATGATGTTCTACGTAATTAAATGTAAAACTAGGCAATGAAAAAGCATAGAGCTTGCATTCAATCCATAAGTCAAAAAAGTGATAAAATTAATTAATGTTTTATATCAGTTGGAGTTGGCTAATGGAAGATATATACATATTCAAGATGAACATTTATTATTACTAGAACTTTTAAGTACATAAAAAATATATATTTTTGGCATTACAAATTGGTATGTTAGTATTAAATTTTTGTAGCTACAAATTTAATTATTGTCTCTCATTAAAATTTTAAATTTAGAAATACTTAATATTTATTTATTTATTTCTTACCCTTTTTATACGTAATATATAACATCATTTCTTTCCAACGTTGTTTAATTTGACCAATGTGTTGTAAATAAAATAAAAGATATTTACTTATTTCTATCAATATAATATGTATATTAATACTAATCTTGAATAATAAATAGACTAAAAAGTAATAAATTACAAATCCATGTTAAACCAAAATTTATTAAGTATAAAAAACATACGATAAACTTTTGTTTAATTCTGCTTACATAGATTTGAAATATTCATACAAACAAGAAAAACGTACAAAATGTGTAAGAAAGATTGAGTGATATTACTTAATTATATTGATATACTGAGGACAGTGAGGTTGAGTTAGATTTGAGTTAAAAAAAATTACGATTAATTAAAAATGATTAGAATTTTTTGGAAAAGTTTGTATAGAAATATCCCCTTAGCATTCTCCATCTCCAAGTTGAATTCAGAAGTAGGCTGAATATGGGACTCGGAGAATTCTGAACTGTACCAAAAACCGAATCGAAATCACTCCGAACCGAAAAATATCTGTTGACCATTTGACTTTCTCCGAAACGAACCGAACCGAAAAATAATTGGTACGGTTCTGGAGATTTCATAAATATCCGTACCAAGAACCGAACCGAACCCTCCCGTACCGTACCTAACCGAAGAACCGAAATTAAGAACCGAATTATAAAAATGGATGCGTGTTTTTAGTATATTTATGTCAATTTTGATCCTATATAATTTTAGAATTTTTAAAATGCAAATAAAATATGGTAATAACAATTAAGATTCACTTACATTTCATGTTTAGTAATACTTGATCTACAATTGAATTTTCTCTGTTTAAAAAAAAAATTAAAATGGAATGAAAGGTTAAAGATTTTAAAAAATAAATATTTAAGTTTTGCTTAAAGTTGTCGATACTTAGTCTTAGTTTACCTTATAACTAACATGGTATAGAAGGTTAAATAAATATTACTTTAATATAAAATTGTATTATATTTTGTTTGAATTATAAACTTTCAATGTTAGTTGAATTTAGTCTTAACTAAAATTAGGGTTACTTCTAAAGTTGATTTAAAAATAAAATCTTTAGTGTGATGAAATATTGATGAATATTGGATTTAAAAAGAAAAACATATAAAAAATAAAATTTAACTAGGTGGTCATTCAAAAAATTTAAAGAATCAAAAGAAATCTCCGAATATCCGAACCGAACCAAACCAAACCAAACCGAACTGTTCCGATAGTCCCGAAAACCGAACCGAACCGAAAAATAAAAATCTCCGAACCGGACCGAACCGATTTTTTGGTACGGTTCTGGAGATCGAATTTTAGTGATCTCCGAATTTCGGTACGGTTCTGGAGATTTATCAATCTTCGAACCGTACCGACCCGTGCTCACCCTTATTCAGAAGCCATGCGAGGACCGCTAAAGTAAATTACTAATATGACAAAAGAAGTTGAATTCAGAAGACATGCGAGGATCGCTAAAGTAAATCGTCATGATTTCGAGTTTCATGCGAATTAATTTTTCTTTGGGTAATCAAGTAAAGTTGCCTCTCTACTACTTTCTACGTATTTTTTTCTATTGGGTG